GACTGGGGGTGAAGGGCATGTGACCTAAGAGGTGGCGTTCCTCTCTGATTTGAGTAACAAAGAACCAGCCTGTGCCTGTGTATGCCAGCGGGATAAATATACTAATTTCCACCAGTGGTCCATGTCAGTGCAGCTGCSTGAAAACTGAGCTGTCACTGGAGACAAAACTTTGTCTGTCCTTTGTTGTCATGTTGTGAAAGCTGAGGCAATGAGATGAGGGTGAAGATGAGCAGTGCTGCCTGGGCACTCCTCTGGCTGCAGAGGCAGCTGCAGGCATGAGGGCACCGATTCCTGCACATGCCGAAGAGCAAATGCCCTTGATTACTAAAAAATGGGGGGTAGAAGGAAAAAAAAGCCATGTTTTCTTGGATCAGCCCCCTGCAGAGGCAAAGAAAARCCTGCCATACGTTAATGGGCCACTTTCATAAATGTGGGAGCCTCATGCACGCAGGGTGGCTCAGCCTGTCTGAGCTGATGCAGCTGTCAGCCTGTTTGTCTAGAAAATGCGTTTCTGAAAGGTATGATTATTCTAGACTGTTGAGCGAGTTCTTCTGTGTGAGTGCATTTAAACACCAATGGTACATGTAGAAAGACTAAAAACAAAGAGAGAAGGGGCAACATTTTTTACAGCCCCAGGAGGATYGGAGAGGAGGTTGTTCTGCTTGTACAACAAGGACACCTGTAAGTGTCCTGTGAATTGCTCAGGTCTCTCACCAGCCTGCGCAACACATTCTGTGCAGGTGTGCTGTCTTTGGGGAGACTGCTCCTGGGGCAGTAARGATGAGAGAGCATTGTGAGGCAGAGGTAGATGCATTCCTGCCTCTGTGTTGGCCATGCCCTGKGTTGGCTGTGCTTAGATACCCACAAGAATTCTGGAAGGTTGCTTCTTAAAAGCTTGTCTTGGGCCATGGGAAAAGCATTCCTCCCCACCTACCCTCGTGTCTGCAAAGTACCCCAAGGCAGTGCTGAGGTCTGGCTCTGTCCTCATCAGGTGGGGARGAAATTGGCAGCAGGCTCTGAGGGACCCTTTGTTTGCTCATGTTATTAGCAAGGAGTGAGGAAGTAATGATTTATTGATGCTTCTGTGATTCTCCTACACGAAGCTATGGAGGAAGAAATTCAATTTCCTGGCTGATATTCATGGCTCTAATAGAGCAGTACCATGTTCCTGCAGAGCAGTTCACTTGTGGGGTGCTGGTGGTGCCCCCATTTCTCTGATACAGTGCCTCATAGCCAGTATGGCCAATGATCACTGAGGGTCACTCTGCTCTTCCCCTGCCTCTGGCTGTAGCCAGGCTGGTGGCAACAGGCTGTTTATAGAGCCCAGCATTTTTCTGCTGCAGTATTTTGTTTGAWTAAACCAGAAAAATCTGATAGAGGGGGTGGCAGCCACTCCTTTCTGGAGTGAGGCTCTGGTGGGAATGTGTATCAGTACCTCAGTTAATACTCCTTGATCTTCATAGCATGTTGGGCAGGAGGTGGTGTCTTCTTGTGGCTGGGATGGCTGTGCCTCTGCCTGGTGAGCCAGTAACTGGTGAAGGACAGAGTTAACAGCTTGCGTGCTGCAGTGGTTGCTCRGGGCTCTGCCAACCCCCACCGTGCAGCCTCAGTAAATCCAGCTGAATTCCTGGGCTTTGCTTGGTACGTCTCCTTTGACAGCTCTCTGTACAGCAATGCCCTTTTCATGCATTCCCTTGCTTCCACGTGAGCCTTAGCTTATGAACAGGATTTCATCTCTGTATCCCAGAGCATGGGATGGGGCAGGACTGCAGTGCAGGRCTCTGCAGGACTTTGGAGCACCCAGCTCCTGCCTGTATTCCAGGGCTCTGCTTTGTGGCCTCTCTTTGCAGGCTTGTAGAGCTTTGTGTGGCAAGGGCTGCCTATGAATGTGTGAGCTGCCTGGATGCACTGCTCAAAGACCCTGCCTGCCTGTGTCCCAGCTGCCAGCATCCTCAGGAATGAGTGGTGGATGCAGGCAGGAATCCCCTGTCCTGYAGAGTGATTGATTGCCCTAGATTGCCTGGGGAGAACAGTGGGGCACAGCCCAGAATTGCTGTGAGGACGTAATCCCTCAAGTTACAGGGAGGAGGAGATCATAGGGGAGACCTTGGTAAACGTGACTTTTGCCCCCTTGCAATCTGTGCTCATTTCAACTGCAATGTCTTTTTCATCCATCCTCCTCAAACAAAGCAGTGCCATTTTGGTTCACCTGAGGAGTGTGCAGATTCCTTTGAATCACAGGATCTATCCAGGATACTGATTCCTATTTTTTAACTTTATGACTACAGTGCAGGGGATCCCTGATGCTGGGTGTCCTACAAACCCAAAATGTGAGGCAACCCCTGTGCTGAAGGCCCTGCCATTTTCCCCCACTACACCCTCCCAACTCAGCTGAGGAAGGGAGATGATTTATGAGCAGCATCAACAATGTCATAAAGTACAAGTGGCAAGTTAATGCTGCTTTTTTATTCCAGCCCTTTGACAGGGCCTTGTTAATAGAGGGTTGGGAACAGAAACAAAAGGAAAGAGCACAGCAGCTAAAAGCCAGTTGTCACAACACTGCTGCATTAGTGTGAAAATGCTGTGTTTTATCAGAAAGGAAGCACTCTCTCCATAATAAATGGCATTGCACAGCAGGGAGCAGCTCCTTAGGAGCCCCTCTCTTATGCAGTCAGACTGAGAGAATGGGGTTTTTCAACCTGGAGGTGGCTTTAGGGAAACCTCATTGCCTCCAGTACTTAAAGAGAGCTTATAAAAAAATGGACAATGGCTTTTTACATTGGCAGGTAATGCTAAAACAAGGGGGCTATGGTTTTAAACTGAAAGAGGTGAGGTTTACATTAGATGTCAGGGGGAAATTCTTTAACTGAAGAGTGGTGAGGAACTGGAAGAGGTTGCCCAGAGAAGTTGTGGATGCTCCATTCCTTGAAGTGTTCAACGCCAGGTTGGATGGGACCTTGGGCAATCTGGTCTGGTGGGTGACATTCCTTCTCGYGGTGGGGGGTTGCAACTGGAATATTTAATGATCTTTCCAACCAAAACCATTCTATGATTCCAGCCTGTAGATTCCTGTGAACTGTGCCCTCCAGAACAGGGCAGAGATGCTGAGTTCAGTAGGATTCAGTGCTCTGTTATGTCATCTTCTCTGGAATGATCAGACTGAGAAAGGCTTTAAACCCATGTGGGTGAAAGCCTGGAAGACTGGGGAGGGTGGGAGAAGGCAGCAGACATGGGTGCAACTTGTAGAGCAGGCTGTTTTTGGAAGGGGAAGGTGGTGAGTGCAGAGGGAATACAAGTAGGGGATCAGGGAGTGCACCAGAGCCAGTGTTTGGAAGCTGGAGCGGGAGTTGTGTTTAATTTTGGGATGGGRACTCGTGGGAGTGCTGGCGGGCAGGTGGGCTGTGCAGAGGGCAGGGGTCTGTGGCACTCAGAGCAACACTGGCATTCCCCTGGAGACAGCAGTGTTGGAGACTTGTGCACTGTTCCACTTTCCCAGAGAGCATTCAGCTTGCTGTAATTTTCTCTTCTCAGAAAATGAGGTGCATTCACTGCAATAACTTGTTGTTCCTTCCAACCCTCCTTGGAATGTATTCAAATATGCTTTGCTCTGTTTCCTTACTTAGTTCTGTAGTTAGMGGTGGTGAAATGCTCCCTAGACCATATTCCTAGGATATATGGGTCTGCTTGGAGACTTCATCCTCACGTTGAGTTCTGTGTGTTGTTTTTGTTCTTGACCTGATACTTTAACAAAATCAGTTTTATTTTTAAAGTTTTCCCCAGTTGCTTTCTTTCCTGTCTTTCTTGGGAAAACAAACCAACAAAAAAACTCCTCCTAAATTTTTCAAAGCCGTGTGTTGTAGAATAGGCCTCTCATCCACACCTTGTTTTTTCCCCACAGTCTGCAGTAGCTGTTAATTCACATTTGGTTAAGCAATTAATCAGGATATAAATAATACATAGCATGTTATCAGAAAATTGCATGCCAGTGCTATGGAGGTAGGTACTTTCAGTCCTGGTGGGGAGGGCTCGCCTTCTGTGCTCTGCAGCCCCCTAAGGCCAATTAAGGTGCATCCTTGATGAGAACCCAGCCGCTCCTTGGCTGGATAAATATTGCTCTGATGCRGGGAGGGGGGGCCAAAGCTATTGAAGATAAAGAGGGGTTTAGTGTTCAAACAGCTGCAGTGAGCACTGGAGCTCAGCATTCCCCTCCTCCCCTTGTGCGTGGGCTGAGGCTGGAGCAGCAGCACYGAAGGGATGGTGCTGGCACGGGTGGCAGCTTATGGGAGGCCTATAGGTCAAAGACTTAGTAGCGTGTCCTTTGCCTTCTGCCTTAGTCCTGTAAAGGTCTTTTCTCCTGGAGGCATGTCAACTGTTGATAAACAAAGTCTTATAGCATGTCACAAGTGTRGAAACCTGCTTTATCTTCCTGTTCCCATTCCAGCCTCCTCAGTGAGCCCAGGGAGTGGTGTCTSTGGTGTTTCAGCTTTCAAGGCTGCTGTTTATTTCAACTGCAGTAACGAGTGCTGAACTGGCTGACAGGAATAAACGTTACTGTGGCAGTTTGGGTGGAGATTTGGAAAAGATGCTTCAAGTTACAAAATAAGTATAAAAGCCATCAGGAAAAACGTGAGAAAAAAAMCCCATCCAGAGTCAATAGGCTCCAKGGGCCACCAGATTTMTACTGTCACATTTGCAGTCGTAAATTTGCTCCATAGTATTCCTGCAAGAGCAGGAATAATTGGGCTTGGGATAAGCTTGGCTTTGTAGTGGAATCTCAGAACCTCCCTGCAGCAGGCTAAATATTCAAGGGTGCTGCATGGTTCTGAGACAAAGCTTGYCTCTGGTGTTTCTGTACAGATCATTGGATTTTGGCAATTGTAACGGTTGTTTTCTTTCCCAGACATGTACTCTGGGAGTTTAGGATACTCTTCTGCCATAAGCCCTGGTGCAAAAGAACCTCAGCTGAAGGGCACAATAACATATTGGATGTTGTTTCGTAGGTGCTGGAGCAGGATGTGGTTCTCCAGTCCATTGATCGTGCCATTGAGGCTGTGCACAATGCGGCCATGAAGAATGGGGGGAAATACAACCTGGAGCAGAGAGATGTCCTCCAGTAAGTATGATGGGCATCTGGCAGAGCTGCTGGATGGAGCGTGGTCCAAGTGTCATTCTGTCCTTGGGGGATGTTGGATGTCATTGATTTGAGCCCCTGTGCTGCTGCACTCAGAATGCTTCCCAGTGTTTGAGCACTTGAGCTGCTTCTGTTCCATCTGACAGCTGTGTCCAGCAAAATAGAGCTTTGGCCTTGCCCCTCTATCCCTGTGCATGCCAAGAAGAGTTGATTTTCAGCCACACTGTAGGCTTGGAGGAGAAATCCAAAACCTTTCTGGCTGCATTTTCTCTGCTTTACCAGCCAGGAACTGTAGAGGTTGTTGGCATGTGGCACAAGGTCTTTAGTATGTTCTCAAATAATTGCTTGTGAGGAGAATTTTTATTTTTCTCTGTTCACCTCACACTCTGTGCTGAGACATGCTGGTTTAATCTCGGTTGAACAGCAATTCTAAAGTGCAGGCRATTTCTGAAGCTTGCAATGCAATATGTGACTCTCCCCTGAGGAAGAGGCATTTTTTTCCAGTGAACTGATGAATAAATTATGTGCTCTTGCAAAGCCTCTTCCTTCCTCCCCTAGAAGTGCTTCCTTAGTTGTTAATGAAACTGGAGTTGGTGTTCAAAGTAATGTAGCCCATTCTGGTATATATAGCCCAAAAGCAATAAATCATTAAAAAATATAATTTAAATGTTGCAGCATGGTCACTCCCTTGAGCTGTGCTCTTCCTGATGTCATCATTCCGTTTCAGAAAACTTATCCATCACCGGAAGGAGACTGTGTCCCGTAAAAGCCACTCTCCCACCCCGCAGGGGACAGTTATGACTCAGTCCACCAGTGATCACCACCTGGATGTGTCCCGGCAGCCCAACGGGGTGTGCCGGACAGGGTACGAGCGACACCACAGCCTTCCCAACACCGAGTTCGAGGACGAGGATGAAGGTCTCTACCAGGTAACAATGGCTGAACACTTGCTAGGTTCCTCCTTTGGTGGTGTGACATTGCTAGTCCTGTTGAATAAAATGCCTTTGCAGCTGAAGTTACAAATCAAGTGTTTATGCTGCTAATCTGGGATTACTGCAGTGTAAAGTGTTGGTGTCTGTAAGAAATCTGGAACAGTCCCTCTGCCATTTACACTTGTCATGCTTGTTGGAATCCTTGAGGATCCATGGTTTTGCAGTAACATGCGAAATCCACTTTATACTGTGTGACTCTCTCTTGGCAACTTTCTAAAAGAGTTGCAGGCTCCCTGGAGAATATTTTGAAAAGCAGTTTTGACGTGAACAGCAGAGCTCCCTCCAAGGACTCAGCACTGCTTCATTTCCCCCTTGTTATGTCTGCACAACAAGATCGTTGGTCCTTAAGCATTTTATCTGCTGTGGCTGCCTATTTATACTACTCAAAACAAAACAAAAAGCAAAAAAAAACTGCAAAGATCCTGCTTTGTCTGAACGTTGCTTATCATGATGAATTAAGGGCAAATTGCAGGAAATAAGATTCAGAGCAGATCTTTTTTTATCTCAGCAACACGCAGAAGTTCCAAGGTTACTGTGCAGCGTCAGTGAGGCTACAAAGTAGCAGCCCGGGACGGAGGCTGTGGCTGTTGGGGATGAATGATGTGCCTGATTTCACTGCGTAGGTGTAGCTGGATGTTAGGGCTAAAGGCACCAAGCAAGGATAAGCATGGAGGTTTTTTATTCCTCCTACAGATGAACACATGCACTGTAGTTTTTCTTCATCTCTCTGGGCTGAGTGTTTGGAGGCATTGTGTTTATAAGGCACTGATGTGCTGCCCCCCCTCCCCCAGCAGATGAGGCTTGTTTTACATTTGAAGAATGGTGTGCCTGGGGAGACGAAAGGTAGCTCAGGCTCAGGCCAAACACAGCAATGCCTACAAAACCCAATTTTCTCCTCAGTATTCATTTTTGTTCTTCAGCAGTCAAACCACCTCCACACTCTCAAGCCTGTACATTATGGGCTGAGCGAAAGGGGCACCTTACAGTCCATTCTCCATGCTGATTCCCTGTCTTTATCTGGTCTGTGGTTTGGTTGCTTGCCAAAAAGGAGGAAGACAAATTTCCTTGGCTGACAAAGAACTGTTTCTGTCTGGGTGGCACTGAGGATACAGTTGAAGGGCTTCCAGCTTAGCTCTGTGCTGAAAGGGCTCCTTGAGATTTTAATAGCTCAGTTGGTGGATTTCCTGTGTGCATTGAAAATACGAAGTGGACAAAGCAGCATTGCTTTCTTCCCCTGGTTATACAGTAGCCTAAGAGGAGACCTACTGAAGTCTAAACTTTCTCACAAGCTCCAGAGGAGCAGAGGTCTTGGCATGTGCTTTTCGTTGCTTGGGATTTTCAGGTGCATTCAGTGTTYGTCTCTGAAAACTTAAGTAAAATTTTATGTGCAAATTTCCTCTAAGTTGCTTTGCTCACAGGAGTGAACTGGCTGCAGTACTTGGTTAGGGCACTTGGGCTGAGCCTCTTTTCAGCTCCTCCACAGTCAGCATAAGGTGGGAGGCTGGGGCAGTTTCATACCAGCTGCCAAGGGAGGAGGTTGGGCTCTTGGAGTATTTTAGTCAGTCTGCTGCATTTGTGCATGCTCAGTGAGTTTGTGATGCTCATCTCCAGAAACCTGTGCTACAGACCAGTATCTCTGGCTTGGCAGAGTTTGCCTGGAGGAGGTGGTGGGTGGGAGATTGTTCATTTAGTTTATTGTTTTGTTATTTTGTTTAAAGGTTKCTACTATATTAATGTTGTTCCCAGGAGTCAGAGTGGTGATGTTCTCTGCCTGCTTGGCTGCAAAGGGAATGGGCGTGTTGTGGTTGAGTCAGCTCTTGCCTTGGAGCAGCACAGGGAGCACAACCTCTGCTATCAGTCCATGCAAAAGGGTCAAGGAGAGGAAGCATATGTGTAAAATCTGTGGATTTGGGGAAGTTCACTATGCCCATATGGAGGCCTGGGGGAAGGAAGGCTTTCAACACCAGTTGCTGCTCTCTGAACTTTTGATAAGGTCCCTCATCCTTTCTCCTCTGGGTAGGTAGGATCTGAACTTCAAGAACTCCTGCCTGGTCACCTTCTGCATGGCAGCTGCACAGATAGAGGAARTTTTCTCCCTTTCCCTTTGTGAGTTTTGGTGTTGTACATCCTCCTGTTGGCCCCAGGCAGTGGCTAGGATGTGGGGTGGAGGGAGGGGATGGCCACTGGTTACACCTCACAGCTCCTGACCATGCAGCTTGGGCAGGCAAAGGGAAATTCCTGTGATGCTTCACATTCTCCTCTCAGCCACTTGGACTGTGGTGTGTGGCTCTCTAAACTGGCAGGGGCTGAGCTAGCATTAGCTGTACATCTATTAATTTAAGCACTATCCTGTAATAACTGTGTTAAACTTGTGTGGTAAATTTGGAAGAGCTGATGAAGCCGTGGAAATACTCCAGAATGACCCAACCCTCACTATCTCCAAACAATATCACACGTCTGCGCTAAGCTCTGAGCCTGCCTGTCTGCTTAATCCCACTGCTTCAATAATCGTGGCCRTGCTGTGCCAAGCAGCTCTGACTCGTGCTGTCAGCTCCAGCACTCTGCAGACAGGGCTCTGCTTTTAGCACAGCTGAGCTTTCAGGATTTGGGGCCAGCTTGCCAGCCATGCAATGCAGAGACACCTCCTGATCTGCTTGACCTCTCTCAGCTGYGCAGTCTCTTTTTGGACTGACACGGATCATTTTTGAAGCTGTGTGCAAGGATCGGATAGCATTCCACCCAGAGAACAATGTGGGGTGGATTGACAAGAGCAGAGAGTGCAGGCGGGGAGTCTGCAGCAGTGTCTCGTGCTAATGCACCAGCTGAAGGCACTTGTAAAGAAGTGACTTTTTATATGACATAGTATAAGGCTGGATGTATTTGGTGTTGGGTGGGAAAGGGACTAAGAGATCCTTATTTAAAAATCTTGGTGCAAATTGCTGTGTCTTCACTTGCCTAGTGAATCTACACATGGGCTGTGAGCAAGCACATTGTCAGCTCTTGCCACTGAATCTTGAACATTTGAGGTAGCTTTTGAAGGTGTTTTATTTACAGGACCATCTTTGCTCTCATTTCAGAGGAGGTTTTTGCTCTTTCTGGATCTCAGGGGGAAAAGCACATTTTTTATTCTGCTTCTACTGAGGTAGAGACCCTTCAGGGGCCCGTCTTAGATTTTCACTGTGGGGTGGCAGAACTCCGTGCCCTGTGTGATGTCTGTTCAGCACAAGGTCTATTCAGCAATGACAGGGCACAGAAAAGCTTCTCTTCCAGGGCCAAACAAACCTGGAAAATTTGCACTTGTGATGGACTGAATGTCACTACAGATTCCAAATGGTTGAACACATTGTTACGGAAGACATTCAGACCATCACCTCCTTTCCCTTCCCCTGCTCCCKTGGGAGATTTTGCCACAGACAGTGATTGCAATATCCCATTAAAGCAGAAGTATGTTTGAGGCTGCAGGTTCTGAATGCTAGAAGTCCTAAGAGGTCCCAAACAGAGTCTGCAGGGCTTTGGGGACTGGAATATTGATGCAATGTGCTCCCACCTTGGCTGCTATGTTCAGTGATGTCTGCTGATGATAGGTTAACCCTGAGACTGCACCTCCCTAGAGTAATTGTGGGTGAAAGTGATATTGGTGATCATGGTGTTTAGATCTGACAGGAAAAGATGTGTGTAGGAATCTGTGTCTAGGGCTCCTACATTACTGGCTTGGTGTCCCTAGAAGAAGAGGCTTATATGAGAAATGACAGATATGGGAGAGTTAATGCAACCCTGGCAAATCTTTTCCCAGTGGGTCTTGCTATAGGTAGCATTGTACTGTACAGAGGGTCAAGCCCTATTTTCTCCCTGCATGAGCAGAAATAGCATTTGAAAATGGAAAAGGCATTTACATGTTTGCAGTCCTTGGGTTTGTCTTTCTGTAAGGGTATTTGTATCTGATGTAATGGATCTCTCCAGAAGAGTGTGTAAATATGCACTCTGTTTGCAGCCTCTGTGGAGCTATTGAGAGTAATGTGGAGACATGGTAAGTGTGTGGGATTGCATTTGGAATAAAGGAGGAGTAAATTCTTGACAGGTCTACACGACATATGTGCCATGTGCTGCTGAACACAGCAATTAAACAAGGGCTGCTTTGCCTGTCACAGGGAGGGGATGAAGTCAGTTTGAGTCCTGCTTTGTTCTTCTAGGAAACCGCCTATTAACATCTGTCCTCCTGAGAAAAGTGCCCCAAATGATGAGAGAGAYGTAAGGACAAATCTACACATGCATACGAGAAAGCAGGYGTCGTAACAGAGAATGTCTTTATTGTCAACCTCCTTTGATTGCTCTGAAATCTTTCCTTATAGATCCAACCACAGACCCATCGTGCTGCTCCTGTCACCCCGCCACCTCCAGAGAAGCGCAAGAACACACAGATTGCTCCCATTAAAAGTAAGGACAARCTGCTTTCCAGGTCTCTGGCATGAAACAGACACTGAGTGATGTAACAGCCATGGGGCCTGAATATTTCTGCTTTGTGCTTGGATGAGCATCCTTATCTATACCCTAAATTYCTATAGGGTTTATATACTTACAAATATATCTATAAATATATATATAGCCTAGATTCCTGTTGCTGTGGCAGTGATGCCATTGATGCCAGTGATCATGACACTCAGCCCACCTCAAGCCCACTCATGTCCCTTTGTGTRGAGCAGGACAGAGCCATTGACTTGCAGGTAATTGAGACCTGGGATTAGCACCAGCTTCCTTAATGGTACTTAATGGTATTGAGCCATTTTCCACTGGAGTAGTGGGAGTTCACAAAGGTCAGTTTCCTTCAACTAATTATTTTGATTTAGTGAAGTATAGGGGGAGCTATGATTCATGAATGGTCTTCTGTGAGGAGGAGGAAAAAAAGAGCTGTTGAACCCCTGTGGTAGTGAAGGGCCCAGTTTTTCTGCCTAGCTGGTGTTTACTTTGGGGGGTGTGGTGGATGGACTGGTGGAGGGCTTCCAGCACTGATGGCACAGGAAGGGTTGGAGGTGCCTGCAGAAGAGCAGCCAAGGCATTTCAACGTCTGTCCCACTGCTCCTTCCTTTGGGGGTGTATGCGTGTGTAACTGCTTTCCCTGAGAGCTGGGCTTCCCATGGGGTACAGCACCTTCTCTTCCAACACTAACACCAGCTGYTCTTGGGAAGCTTTTGGTAGCCCACTATTTGCCCAAGTAATTGCTTTTGTAGTCAGGGAAGAACTCAGGTATGTTTCTGCCCACTAGAAACTAATGGATATGATTTACCAAAGCTAAAGCCCAGGTTAAAGGAGAGAAGAATCTTAATAGCTTCTTGCTTGTAGTGGATTTTTCCCTTGGAAGGTGGGACTCCCACTGCTAGAGCTAGTCAAAACTAGAGGTGGGGGGAGAAATGCAGTATAGCAGATAATGTGGAGGCTTGTGAAAGTAGTGGGTGCTAGCAGGGCTACAGGGCTTGTGATCAAATGTTGCAGAATGCTGAAAGGGAGGGACTAGGGTGGTTGTCAGCCGAGTGTTTTCTCCACCGGTGAGATGTGTGCACGAGGGAGGTGCAGGCTGGTGTGTGCAGCCTTCTGTGTCTTGCAATTCTGAGGCACCGTCTTTAAAAAGTGAGGGCTTACATCCTTAACATAGAAAATGCCTAACCCAGGGAGAAAAGACTTTTGTGTCTCTTAGTTCTGTMCATCCCTCCYTCCCTTCCCCTGTGTAAAACACTAAGCCCTTTGAAGAGTATTCATCTCAACAGAGTAGCTTTCCCCTTTCTAAAGAGGTGGCTGTGTGGGAATGCCTCAGAGAGAACTGGTAAATTCTGCTTTGAGATAAGTGAGGCAGGAAGAGGAGTTAAACTGCTCTGGCCACATGCACAATGAGCCTTTTAATTGACTGTGCTGTGGCAATTTGKTTTTTTTCTCTTTTCCTTTGATGCTGTTGCTAAGGCATGTTTAATTGTTCCCTTTCAGATGCTGTTGAAATTATGCCTGGGTCAGCTTCTAGTGCCTCCTCTATAAGCACGACATCCCTGGATACCTTGTACACTGCTTCTTCTGTGTCTGAGACCGCTCTCCCRACAGCCACCTCCAGTCCTGCCAACACTCCGCCCCCTGTCCCGAGCCGGAGTGTGCACACCACGATCACACGCAATTTGGACAGCGGCTCTGTGACCCATTCCCGTTAYGGGACTTCCCCAAAGGATTCCAGCAAATCTCCCCAGTCCAAGAGGGTTGCACCAGCACCGCCGGCKGAAGGGGGGTCCCACAGGTCCCACAATGTGGATGGGGAAAAGACTTCTCAGGTAAAGAAAACTGCCCCAGCACCCCCTGCAAGCCTGGATGCCTTCAGCAACCTCTGCCTGGAGGATAAGAAGGCAGCTGGGGTGGATTCAGAACCYGGTGGCCTGGTGGCCTCTGTGCCCAAGACAATTGGTGCCGAACTGATCGAGCTGGTGCGCAGGAACACCCACCTCAGCTAYGAGCTGTCCCGTGTGGCCATCGGCATCGTCATCGGCCACATCCAGACCTCTGTCCCTGCAACCAGCAGCATCATGGAGCAGATCCTCATCTCRGTGGTGGAGAGTAAGGTAATGTGTACRGGGCTGGGTGGGGACTGCTGCACAYCACCTCTAAGCATCAAGGATAAGCTGTTGTGACCTCAGTGAGCTCCTGATGTTTGGGATGAGAAATGCAGTGAGATTCCAAAGGAAAGGTGCTCCATGGGGTTAAATGTCTAGCCAGGGGAACCAGGGGTTTAAGCCAGGTCTGAGTACAGTTAGCAGAGAAGTAGAAAACAGGTGAGTTTATTCCCCAGATGAGCTGCAGGTGTACAACRTAGCCTTGAGTTGGGGCATTATCTTGAGCTTTTTCTAAATAAACCTTATGTCAAAATAATCCTGTATTTCTCCTTCTGCATCAGTTATTGAAATGGTGAAGTGCACCTGGGTAGCCCTCTGCTTTAGATGGAGGGATAATAAATTTCAGCTCCCACTTGCTTTATGCAGCCCTGAGGAGTGCACATCATATAAACATCTAARATTGGAATTCCATTGCTAATGGCAAGGTTATAATGAACTGTTCAGAGGCATTTGAATGTGGAGAACTAATGACTTTCAAATTTTWCATCAAATCATAATCTGGTTGACTGTTTGCACTGAATAGATGGTCCTATAAGCAATCATCAAGTCTCTGTGGCCATAACCCAATGGTTAATTGCCTCCTTCTCAAATAACAATATCCTGTCAATGTGTGATCTTGATGCAGCAAAAAAATTTAGCTGTTTCAAGCAAATGTTTTGGCTCTGTCTTGCATGCTGAGAAGTTCAGTTTTCTGATATTTGCACCTTGTCCAATATTTGGATATTATTTTTATCATTAAATACCTKTACTCAGGATTCAATAAGCCTAATTCCACAGAAGTCATTTAGTGCCAGGTTTCTGCAGAGGGGATTTGAAAGTCTCGATTTCATGGCCTTTGCTGCAGAYCAGCCTGAAAAGGATGGAAAGAACTGCTGGTGCAAGGATGAGTATGGATCTACTGGTAATTGATGCATCTGTGGGATTTTAAAATGACCAGTAATGTATGGAGACAYAGCAGAAGGTTCTGTCCTGTCTCATAATACCTCATCATACCTATCTTAAGCAGTACTGCTTTCAGAAGGAGAGCCTGGATGGGCTTGCACAGTGCTCAGGTGTAAATGTTGTAGATCTCGTGTGCWTTTTTTTTCTGTGTCCCACACAGATGATACAGTTTTGCTGATAAATGRGGGCCTGGTCCCAGGTGAGGTTGTTCACCTGGTGTGGAAGACCAGCTCTAACACCTGTAAGGGTGGTCACAAGTACTTGTGGGCTGGCTGCACTGCTGTRGCTTCCTTYGCTAATGTGGTTTAGTGGTACAAAWTAYCGTTGATTTTTGTGTTGYTCATTATACCAAATCATTCCACACTCTCAGGGGTTTCTGTGTAGAATTGTTGCTGAGTTGTCAGTTCTAGGTCAAGGACTTTTTTTCTTTAATTTGTCACTTCTGAAATCCCTCAACTCCTCAATCCATGCAAATACATGGGCAATTCTTCCCTTGCATGTTTTTCACCGTTTTTCTTCTACTCCCTAAAACAGAGTGAGATATCAGCTTTGATTTAAAGCTTTGGTCTGCTCATTGTAGATACCATACCTGCTTCAACCTTTTGTATCTTGTTCTTTAATTAGTTATATCCTTTCTATTCCTATTCCAGTTCTTAATTTAAAGTCAGCTCGCTGGTTTACTAAATCAATTCCRGAATCCATTACCTTGCTTCTATCCCTAGTGCCTTCTGAGGGTTGAGCAGTGGTAGCACTTCCATCTTATTTACCTTGCTGCTCCTCCAGCGTGGAGTCTGTCCAGGCATGTGGTTTTTTTTAGAGAATAAAAGACCCKTCTGCTGGGACAGCATCCTGCTGCTGCTTTTTGAGGGGTGACTTAAGCTGGGGGAACAGCAGAGACAAGGAGGGTGCTGAGGAGCTCAGACCTTAGAAAAGATACTTCAGAGGCGCCACACTATTTGGGGAAGCCTGATCTGGRGGAGAAAACCTTCCCTGTGTCAGCATTTGGCTTGGCCTTGGAAATGGCCCCTCTTCTTGTCCATGAGCTGGCTCCTGATAAATGGYGCAGTGGCTGGGCAAGACGCACAAAGAGAATGAAACCTCATTTCAAAGCAACTGTCTAAACTGGACCTGGCTTTYGTGGCAAGTTGTTGAAAAATTTGGTATACCTAAAGATAATACAGATGCTGCCTGGTTCTTGGGCTTCTAAAGAATCACTTGGATTAGTAGGTTTTGTGATATGTGATTGTCTTCAGCTCTGTTGTATTATCTCCYGTTTGAGAGGAGAGGGTAGTAGTATAGGTGTCATGTCTAAGGAGGTTGAGTTTTGCAGATTTATTAAACTTACTGTGAAACAACCAGAATTGCCCAAAGCTAGCTGCACCTTGGGAGGATGCACTCAGAAACCATGTATCAAGTTTTTAGTAAAATTGCATTGCTGTGTTGTAGTTGTGACTCAGACCCATATCTGGTTGCCTTAAATTTAAGCTTGAAAGTTGCTAACAAAGATGTGAAATGTACATTGGTCTTCTAGTTGAGCCCAGGCTGCTGAGAGGGGTCAAACTTTTCTTGGATGTATCAGAGATGGAAGAACAAGTCAGAAAGTTGGTGTGGGATGTGATGTATTTCTGGAGGGGGTTTCCCTTGTAGTGCTGGGCTGTGACCTGCTCCCAGCTGCCCATCACCAGCACCTGCTGCCTCCCTGCAGAGCTGACCTGCCCAGGATGGGGCTGTGTCCCTGGAATGCCCAGCTGGGAGCAGACCTGCTGCTGCTGAAAGTGTGTGAGAAGCCTGCCCTGGGATGCTTGGCTCAGCTGAAGTCAGGCATCTCTTTTGCACCAYGTTTCATCTCATTTAGCAGCTGCTGAGGAGCATGGTCTGCATGTGTTGGGAGCAGTGTTAACTGTCTGGTGTCTGTGGATGGTGTTGTAGTGGGCCCAGTTTGCTGCCCAGAGGATGGAGGAATTCCCAGAGCAATCCCCCTGAAATGTGTCTGAAAACCTGCTATATGGTTTTGGGGGTTGTATGGAGGGAAGATGTGCACACCCATGGCACTGGTGAACCAGKGCACTTGCTGGTGAGGTGGAGGGAGAAGGAAGGCATGGGAGTGGGACAAGAAGAAATGGACAGGACAGCAGCTGGGTTTGCATGGCAGGTGTGGCCACCTCTGAGTAGTGAGTTCCCAAAATGKTTTTGGGCTGCTCAGGAAGAATAAAATCACTACAGCAGCTTCTTCTGCTGGGCTGGGGGCAGGGAACTAAGCAGCAAGATAATACTATGTGGCATKATTAGAAATACTGAAATCTCCTTCTGCTTATGGGCTCTCCAGCAGATTCCTGGAAATGGCCATAYGATGATGCTGCAGGTTGTAGTAGCTGCCAAGATGTTTAATAAGCAGTGACCTGACCCTGGTGGTGGGAGGGCTGAGAATGGTGCTGATAGTGCACTGAGACAGTGTGAGATGTAGTTACATGGTCAGATGGAAGAGCTTTTTAATGGATTGATCTCATCCAAGTCCATTAGGAGCTTGATGCTCAGTGGAGTCGTTAAGGGCTGCAGATGAAGGATTGGAGAAAGTAGATTAGTGGTAAGAAGCTGAATAGAAGGATCGTTAAAACGAAAACTCATTAAAATGATCATCCAAAAAGAGCCCCAGCAGTGGATTGAGGTAAAACTGGCCCTGCAATGCTCCGGTGAGGAGGATGTGAGTAAGGAACATTATTGGAGAACCCTCTCCCAAGCAGCTGGGACACTTGAGGAAACSCAGGTGACACTGCAGTGCTGTAGGTCCTCTTAAGAAGCAGGGGGATGGCAAGACAAAGTGAGTCTCTTAATGTATTTGCTTCCGATAAATTCGGAGGGAAATGCTTGTGTTCGTACTCAGCTCCTGAAAGCTCTTGTGCTCTCTCACAGCTGGTTACCTACCTGCTTTTCTGCTCGGCCAKCCACAGCTTCCCAAAATTTCAAGACTGTGCAGAGGCTTGTGTTAAACCTGCATGCTCCTTCCTTCATTACCTGCCTGACAAAAATTATGTAAGAAACAGCAACAAGAAAACTTCTTTATTGTATAACTGAAGCCTGGACTTGAAGTCTTAAAATAATTCATACCCCAAAGCAAATGACTAACAATTCTGTCTCTAATAAAGCAGGTGAGACCTTACTGTTAAACATGGAATGGTTTCCCCAGAGAGGGCTGGAGGGTGGAAGATGGGCAGGAAGGGTACAGCTCCTGCACTTGGCCATCCACGTGTGGCTGTGTGTCTGTGCAAGTGCCACAACTGTGGCCTGCTCCCAGCTGACCTGGGCTCGTGTCTCCGTACAAAATCCTTCTGCTCTGCTCCCAAAGGGAAGTCTGCCTAAAGGCTTGCAGCCCCTGCCTGCACAGCCAGCCTGTTGGAAGGAGCTACACCAGGACAGGACTGAGTCTTCTGTGTGTTTCCAGGAGATGTCCTGGCTGGTAAGCTATAAAGGTCTTTTCTCACTGAGTGATCATGACTTGCTGCATGTGGTAAGACAGTTTCATCCAAAAATTTTTAGGAATTTGGTCTCARTGAGTGGGTTTTCCCTGTTGTTTGAATTTCTCAGCTTTTCTGAGAACCTTCTCAGGTTCTCTTCCACCTCACTGATCTCCTGCTGCTTGTTGTCACTGCTGCCAAACCCTTGTATATATAATTTAAGCTCTTTCCCAAATTAATCCTTACCTTTCTTTATGATGCCTGGGCTTGTTAYCTGTGATCAACTCAGTTGCATGTACTGAACCCCGCTTCTTGCCTTACTTTCAGGAAACTGAGTGATTCATGTGATACACTTASGTCCTAGAGGTTTATCCTAAATCCCAGAGCACAGCAGCTGTTGGGGCAGGTTAAATGCTCCCTCACTACTCCCCTCTTTCTTGAAAGAGAGGAAAAACAAAGGAAAAGCAGCTGAAGACTGAGACCCTCATRGCAGGAATTGTGTAAGGGGCAGAAGTGATGGGGAGGCAGTGGACAGCAGTTTGAGAAAGGAATATGTGCAGTAAGATATACTGAGTAGCTACACACTTCAGAGCTGTGGTGAACAGTGGAGCTCTGCTGTTTGGAATGAAGCAAAAMGAAAGCAGCCCATGATGAATTGGTTCCTGTTCTTGCTGCAGAGGATCCAGGCCTAGAGCAGCTGGCATGGAGAGCACCATACAAGTCCTTGCTCTTGAGCCAAGGATTAAAGGCAGATCTGACCCTTTCAGGCTTCAGGGAGTGGGCAGCAAAGGGAACTTCTGCCTCAAGGCAGCTGTGCAGTGTGGTGGTTTGGTGTCCAGAACATGTCTGTTTTACTGGGGGTACTCAGCTGCTGCCTGGCAGTGGTCCTGGCCATACCAGGCTGGTTTGGCTTTTCCCATTTTTGGGATGATTTTCAGAATCTAAAMTGGGTAGAGGCTCCAAAAGTATGAGATCTAAAATAGCACGTGTCACAAACTTACTGGTTTTGTACTGCCAGCTCTTGACTGAATGAGGTTAGCTGCCAGTCGTGAGACAAGATTGCAGGAAACAGGCACCCAAACAACAGCCAGCTGTCAGGGCCCCACTAACCAGTGGTTTTGCTGTCGTGCAGAACCTGAGTGCTGGGTTRCCCTCGGGCCAGATCTGCCACGATGAGCAGCGGCTGGAGGTGATCTTTGCAGATCTGGCCAGGCACAAGGATGATGCTCAGCAGCGCAGCTGGGCACTCTACGAGGATGAGAATGTCATCTGCTGCTACCTGGAGGAACTGCTTCGCATCCTGGTGAGTAAATTCCTCTCTGTTACAGGCAGAGCAGAACAGACAGCGCTGTTGAATTTCCTTTTTTTAACTTACTTCACCCCTGTCTTGCCACTGATCTGCTGTTTCAGGGGGCATAGGTTTCTTGTGTATCTTTTATTGTCRGTGTGAAGCTCTACCCTTCACTGTGGGGTTTGCAATGCTCTTGAGCTGCCTTTTACTCTCCATTCCACCTTACAGAGCTGTTCTGAAAAGTGTTACTGAGCTGTTCTTCATGGTAGCTTTGGTATTTATCTATCACAAGAGGTATAAACCCTCACCTCTAAAAAATCCAACTTCTCCTAGGCCCATTTAAAACATCCTTTGTTGCTGGGAGGTACCTGTGGGGTGAAGCTCATTTAATGCGAAGAACATTGTTTGGTTGCCTTGAAAATGAGCTTTAAAGCTGTTTTTGTGAGAAAGTATAAAGCATCTCACACATCTGTGCATGCAGGAGAGGAACATCCATCCCCATAGTGAGCAGCAGTGGGATTACTGTTCCAATACTCTCACTAGTACATACAGGCCCAAATGTGTTTGGGGATGACATGGGAGCTGCCCTCAAAGCAGTGACATGGTCATGTTAGAAGTACTGGTGTGGGGTTTGCTCTGGCACTATTTTGTATTCCTCTTCAATTCTGATATAAACAGAACAGGTAAATTTTTTGTAATGAATGCCAGAGTCTTGGTCCMTCCACATACAGCCTGTGCTGTCTCGCAGGACAAGGCAGTGTGGGGTTTTGTGCAACCGTTTACTCATACTTTAGGGGTGGGAAGATGTATTTCTCAGGATGGGAGCAGTGCTGGAGCTGCCCTGGGTAACTGTGTGATGCTCTCAGTCAGGTGCTGCTCAGGTCTTACTTTAGATGTTTTCAGCCTGAGTYGTGCTCTGTGGCAGAGGCGTTTCTCAAGAATCCACTTTGATGCAGAATATGAAGGCTGGTGGTTCTTGAACTGTCTTTGTGCTCTGCCTTCAGTTTCTTTGTGAGATGTTGAGGCTACTGAGATCGGAAAGCAAGTGTTCTCCCTCAAGGTCCCAGCAGCAAGCAYCTTCTTCTTTGATGTGTCACTGGGCTGACCTGTTCATTCCTTCTTCCAGACAGATGCAGACCCAGAAGTTTGCAAGAAAATGTGCAAGAAGAATGATTTTGAATCTGTCCTGTCCCTTGTGGCATATTATCAGATGGTAAGGTGTCAGAATGCACCAAATCTCTCTTTTTAAGATTTCCCTGAAGATGCAAAAGAGCAGGGTTGGTATGATGAATGTATATAAGATGTTTCCCTTCAACAGGGCAGTTCTGTGGTCTCACTGGAGTTGCAGCATATCCCTTTTGAGTGCTTGCTAATGTCAATGCTGTGCGTGAAAGTTGTGTGAAAGTGCAGGGGATACTGCAGACTTTGAAGCAGTAGCTAGCACTGGGAAGGGTAAAGCTTGCTGCTTTTACTAKCCCGTTGAGGGACAGGATTGGCATCACTGGTATCTAGAGGAAGGATTTCTGAGGATGCYTTGGAGATCTGACAGGCTGCGATTGCTCTTGTTTTAATTGATGCACTCCTGTGCCTTAGTGAATAACTTTGCTTAGGAAAGTAGGTAGTGAGTAGAAGCCTTGGGAGTGAGGAAGGRAATCAGTATTCAGAGGAAGGAATGGAAGTTTTGCCTTAAACRCTATGTAGTGTTGCTTTGCCCCTCTCCTTCCTGGAATGTTCTGCTGTAGGACTCTGTGGGAGTCGAAAACTTGTCCCCRTCTTGTCTCTAAGTCCCCAGCTACAGCACATCAAGTCTTGTGGTATTTTGCTTTCATCTGGCACTTCTGTGTCTGAGCCCAGAGCTCAGCATCAGGGGCCTCTAGCATAGCTGAGAGCAGCAGGAAGGCAGGTTGGGCATAACAGAGCCTGGTTTTCACTGCCTGCTCTTCTGTGATCATGATTCCAAGCAAGTCTGGGTAGGGAGCAGTTGGGTGTCCTGTCTTGGCTGCTGTCATGCCCAGTGCCAGGGCTTGGCTCACTTCTGTTCTCTGAACCCTGAAGTTGTTGGCTGAGGTGGAGAATGCAGGTCACCTCAGCATGAGAGCTCCTGCATGGGAGCTGCAGGCTGAGCATCATTGCTGGAATCCTTGCATGTCCCAAAACTTTCTGAAGAGAGCTTGCAAATGTTACATTGTCAGGAAACCTTTATCAGAGCAGTGTTCACAAAACCTTAGTGTGCTCAGAGAATCCTGCCTACCCAGAAAATTCAGTCTCTTTGCTGGGGACTGGTATAGGCTGTTGGTGAGTTATCAGATTTAGTGGATGAAATGGGGCATCTCAGATCTGAGCTCAGGTTGCCCCATGCCCTCTGATCACATGTGCCAACAATCCGTAGCCAGCTCAGTTGTGAACCTTATTGTAAAGTGATTCCTGTGCTGTTGTTAAAAGTTTTTAGAGCTTCTSGGTTCACTGTCACTCTGGGAAGGTCTGTGGCTTCCCATCAACAGGAACTTCTAGGATCTATGTTTCTGCCTCAGGGTCTGCCCTGCTCTAGGAAATGTTTAATCTAACAAATTGTGTTTGCAGGAACACAGGGTGCCATTGCGCCTGCTGCTGCTGAAGTGCTTTGGAGCCATGTGCAACTTGGATGCTGCTGTCATCTCGACGCTTGTGAACTCTGTGCTGCCGATGGAGCTGGCCCGGGACATGCAGACTCACACACARGGTGAGCCAGAGCTGCTGTTCCCAGGGCCCTGGGAATTTGCCTTCCCATTACRTGATTTGCAGCAGCATGGGTGGCCCCGCATTGCCTGGCTGCTCTGCGTGCCCTGTGCTGGGAGGGAATGGTGTCTGGTTTTATTCAGGTTTAAAGCTGAGACCAGAGGATGCACAGGAAGGGATGTTTCAGTCCAACAGTGCGAGACCCTTCAGCTCTTGAGCATGCCATTAATGATCTGTGTCACTTCCTGTAGATATCTTAAAATGCATTTTGAGTTGTTCCAGAGACACCTGCAGATCTCAAGGAAGATCTGTGCAGTTTCTTAAAGAGTTTTTGTCAGTGTTCTATACCAAATTTTTGTGTTGTTTCATTCTGGTGAATGAGAATGGTGCTGATTAAAGGAAAGGTCCTTCTCTCCACTACTGTGCCAAGGGAGATGGTAGTGCTGTTGCTAACATCACAGTCCTGGACCTCTACCTTCTACTTCACACTCTTGCTCCATTTGTTAGGATGACCTGTCCCTGCTGCTAATAGGAATGTCCTTCATACCCTCAGAGCTTCTGCTTAGCCCAGTGTCCATTATCTCTGAGCAACCAGAAGCAGATGCTGAGGGGAAGCCTAAGAGTAAGGTGAACATTATATTGATACTCCCCTGGCATCACCTTCCAGCTCCTTCATGCCTGGTCCTGGACAGTCACAGCTTTGCTCCCTGTTTTGATGCCAGCCTGCAGGCCACCAGAGCTGGCAGTGGCATTTAGTAATTTTTTCTCTTAAAAAGACACTGAAAATCCRTTGTCTTGTGCTAATTGTGACCCACAATTAGAGTAGCTTTTGAGTGACCACGTGGATCAAATCATAAGAGTCTGGTGTTTGCAGCCTTGCTGCCCTGGTTACAGTCTGTAGGTTTGTTGTGAGTGTCATGAAGCTGTGGAGGGGTATAATTTAGTAATGAGACTGTGTCGGGGTTGACATGTCTGCACAGAACAGGACTGTCAMATCCATTTCACGTGTGCCAAGTAAATGTCCTACATGACCACCTTGAATGTGTATAATAGATGTTCCTGTCCTCAGCATCCCACCACAGACTGTGCCAACCTGACTGTGGTGGGCAGGATTAACAGGGCTCATCTCATGTCTGGAAAGGGAGGTGAAAGAAGGCTTTGCACTCATCTCTGCTTAGATGCTTTGAACTGCAGGCATGAGGAGGATGGTGTTTCAGAGCAGGGCATAGGACTGGTGGTGTGGGACTGCAGTTATTACTCCTGTGTTGGATTCTCTTTTGTTACCACTGCTTATAAATTCTGTGTTGTGAACTTACCACATTCTTAGTGTTAAATCTGGTTATGCATGAGAAGCATCTTCACCAGGCTGAGGTTTTATTGCCCAAGAAGCAAATGCTACTTGGTTATGTGACTGTGACTGTGCTCCTGTGGCAACATTTCTCCTGATTTTGTGCTGCCAAAAATAACCTTTATTGTGCCTCCATCACTGACTCATATAGGCTGACTCCAAGTCAGCATCCTGTGCACCTTCCCAAACAGGGTTCTGTCTCCTGCCCTGTTCCTGAGCTGTGTGTGGCAGGGTGGCGATGGTCGCCCCTGTTACTCCTTGCCTGATGCTGTGTTTTGCCCAGAGCTGTGTCATCCTGGTGATTCAGCCTCTTGGTGGGATGGAGCTTTCAGCTCTGACTTAGGTGACTTCTGCACACCTCTGCTGATCTCCATGTAGTACTTAGGCTGGRGCAGACCTGTATTTCAGCAAGTCTTAGCTCTGCCTTGGGATCCTAAAAGCATGGCGGTGAAGTGGATGAGAAGTGGCTCTGTTGTGACCKCTAAGCTGCCAACCTGCAGCTCTGCAGCATCTCTTCTAGCATCATCTCAAGGTGAGGGATTTTTTTCCCCTCCTTGCTGTAATGTGGTCCAGTTGGAGGGTGAAAAGCTGCTCTTCCTTTGCTGACAGAGCTGTGGATACAGGAGCCTCACAAATCAGTGTCCTAATCCCATGCTGCTTTCCTTGTGCTAGGCTGTATGGTAGGCATTTGTGCAATGTCATCTTGGCCTTCCCAGTGGGGCTGCAGGGAAGTAACCATCCTTGGCCCAAATGTGTCTGTCCTTCAGAGGTSTTTTAGAGCATTAGTAGTGCCCTCCTGCCATTCTGGTGCTTTACTGCTTCATGTCCTGCCAGCAAATGGCAAGCTTGTGTGAAAACATGACCTTGAATCCTAGAATGACTTGAGCTTATTTTGGTACTAAAAACTGGGGRATAGCAGCTGATCCGTGACATGCTGTGGATTAGCTAATCCCTTCTGTGGATRGCTGGAGCCAGAGCAATCAGTGCCAGCACTGCACAACTGGGGAGCATAGAACTGGCTGCAGCATCTCTGTGGGATCCCTCCTGGCTTATTATTGAAGAGCAGCTGAGGCAGAAGCTCTGTCCATGGATTCTGGGTGCCTTTGGTGAGAAGGACTTTACCCTGGGACTGATGCMGGGGTGTTGGCTGCTGGCCAGTTCTGCCAGATGCTTGAATCTTCCTGCTTCTGGACWATTCCTTCCCTCTGCTCAGCTGGCCTGCACATCTATTCATGTTAGAACACCTTATAATGAGCCACAGCAAGACAGAGTTAGCCAGAACAATTCCAAAGAAAACAGGGATGATCCAGTCTGTAAGCACAATTTTCTCCTTGTTGCAGCACAGTGTACATCCAAGTCAGCTGTCAGRCTCTTCTCCCTTTAGTCATAGACAATTGTATCTGCTCCCAGTGCCCACATTTCACACTGAGGTGTTTAAAAGGTGGAAGCAAGGTGTTCAAAGGCCTCTGAGAAATGCTCTTCATACATAATAGCAGTTTCTTAYCACTATCTCAATAGGCTTCAGCAATGCAGGCTGGTGAGCAAACAGCTGCATCTCTCCTGCCTGTCATGGCTACTTCAGTCATACTTACCAGTGTGTTGTCAGCAGTCCCTCTGCTTCATGAGAGCTGAATTGATACTATTTAATTTCATACAGCCATTGGTGCTGCTCTGAAAGGTAAAAAAAAAAAAAGGCAAAAAAAAAAAGCGGTGTTTCGGCTGACAATTATTCTGTTCTTCTGCATAGTGAGTCTTAAGGTCTTGTCAGCTGGGACACTCTCAAAAACTTGGAGAGCCTGTGCAGAGTGASTGTCCTGGGTTAATCTGGATTTGCCCCAAGTTCAGGTTTCTGACTAGTTTCAGCATCCTTTGATTTGTCATCTTTAGGGAAATACAACAAGATTTGCCTTGTAGTCATGTCAATCAAGCTGAATGGACATGAGTTAATGGCAGATGGGCCAAGAAGGTGTCAAATACTCTCTTCYCTCCCATCTCTAGTCTGTTCCTCCATATTTGCTACAACCATGTTTATCACCGGCTTCTGGCTCTCACTTTATTTCATTGCTCCTGATGTGATGAGAGAAATTGTAYTGTTGATAACAGCCTTTCTAGGAACATGAGAACAGCAGCTCCCTGTGTCTACCTACTGCAATATCCTGCCTCTGAGACTCAACTCCCATAGCTATGGAGGAACAAATAAAGAAATCATGTGGTGAGCAGTTTGTCAGATCCCTTTTTTGCTAGTGTCTCACCTTATAGCTAAGAACTTCTTATATAAGTATGAACTATATTTAATTCATTTAATATCCTCCCTCTCTGTTTACTGAGAGTAAACAGCAGTTTCTAGCCTTCCTCTGCTGCCACATRCTCTACAAACTCTTAATCTTGTTAATGCTGTAGTATCTGGTTAAACTGCAAATTATCTGTTTTTACTCAAAGTACTTGCTGATTGAAAACTTGAGGCATCATGTGGGGCTCTGACAGACTCTAAGTGCTTTGAGTAGAGAGGCTTTGCTGACAGACCTGACTTTACAGGGATGTGGGGCTGGAATGACTCAGTAGCATTTTGTTCCCCATGCTGACAGTAAACTGAGAGCTGCCAAATGTTGCACATCCTTTGGCCAAGACCAGGAGTAAGTGGTGACAGTGAAGGCATCAGCCTGTGTAGTCAAAGCCAARCTGCAGGGTGCAGGTGCTTAGAGATGGGTAGATCTGAGCATGGAGAAGTGAAATATCTTCCAGGGCTTGGAGGTGGCATTGGMAACAGTGTGTATTGTGCAGGGCTGCAGTATGGCTGGGAGAAGCATCATATGTTAAAGGGGYCTTTTTCTCCTCTAATGAAATGTAATGGTCAGTTTTTCATCAATACACCTTCCGTTTCCTTGTAACAAGCACTTGTGACAGGGCTCCTTCTGGCAGACGTAGCTGAACTTTATTTAGCCAGTATGTGTGGTAACCGATGTATAATAATACTCATTTTCCTATTGTCTTCAGACTTGCTGAACTGGACAGAGGCTACATTTGATGAGGGCACAGATCCTATTCCATGACTTTTTTTTTGTTCTGCAAATATCTATTGAGAGGTATCCATTAATTAAAATTCAGGAAAGGCACTGGCAGGCGTTCTTTGGAGCATTCACRTATAGCTGCTGCCAGCGAAAATTGTGTTGGCCTAGCAAGCTATAGGCTGTATCAGTGCTGGAGATGTGTGGCCTGGGAGGTGGGCAGATGCACAGTCTGAGCAGTGATCTGGTCTCCCCAGGGACCTTTTATACCTCCAGGCAGAGCTGAGGTAGCAAAAGTAGAACAGTGCAGAGATGGTAACAAGCAGCATGGCTGTCTGGGGGTGGTGTTGGTTGGAACAGGCAGTATTTTGAGCTGGCCAKATGGATGCTTTTTCTGGGTTCAGTAATTACGTAACTATGGGATGTGTCCTGGGACTGTGCAGGGGAGGTTTTTAATTATTCAGATCAAGTTTGCCCAGATCCTCTGAAGTGAAGGGGAAAAAATAGAGGACTCTTGTTATGATTATTTTTAAATTGCTTTGGAAACACACGGCACAGAAGGCGTGTGGTGTGCTAAGACRAGGAAAAACACCCTTACAGCTCAGTCAATACAGGAATGAGGAGCAGCCTAATCAGTGTTAAATGCCTGTATTAAATGTGTGACTTCCCAGCTGCAGTGGGAAAAAGGTTTCACATCCTGAGAACTAATGACAGGACCTTTGTCTTGCAGATCATCAAAAGATGTGTTACTCTGCACTGGTGCTGGCCATGATGTTCTCCATGGGGGAGCCCCTGCCATATCACCACTATGGTAAGAGTGAGTTGTGCTCATGGCACAGATGGTGGTGGGATGTCTGGGGCRTGCTGGCAGACACAGGGAAGGGACCTTTCCTGATGGCCAAGGTGGTGGGGAGCTCAGTGGAAGGCCCAACAAGGGTAGGTCTGGGTTTTGTCAAAAGAGCCTGGCAGCTGAAGCAGTGGGCTGAGACGCCAGATTTCCAAAGAACAGCATAAATTTGGGTTAGAGCTGCATAAATTTGGGTTAGAGCAGTGGAGGACTGAATGCTGCACTGCAGGTGACATGGATTTGCCCATCCCTGTGACTAAGTGGCATTTTGTTTTACCTCTGGCCTGTGTGAAAGCACACACCTCTTACTTGCTTAGGAGACTGTCTGCTGATGAGGCTGAGATCCCAGATCCCTCCACAAACACCCACTAAGGCTGTCAGCTGCATAATGTGGCCTCTTTCTGGTCTCTCTTCTAGCAGGATAGTGCAGCCCTGTGTAGTTCAGACTCTTAGGGAAAGTGGAGATGATTAAGGGTATTGCAGTCAATAATGAAGTGCAATATTCTCCCTGTTTCTTTCTCTGTCCTTTCATTTCAGCCAGAAAACCCTGCCCTCTTTTTCCCAAAGGCTATGTTGTATTTGAGAAACTCTGGGCTTAATTTTCCTAGAAATGCAGTAGAGATTTTTATAAGTGTCTCATCAGCAGCTTTACCTTAACACCAGGTAAACCTGTACAAGATTTAAACTGGTGCTGTAGAGACAGGAATGAGCCTCTACACCTACTGCTTTTCTCTTCTTGTGTAAGCCTAGCAATTTTTTTCCTCCAGGTGGACTTACTTGCATGAGCTKGTGAGCTTTACTAATAGCTAAATTGAAAACTAGGTTATTACTAATGATCTAAACGATTAGGGTATTTTTTAAAGAGATTAATTAAACCAGTGGTCAAGAATACCAATCTCTTCCTACCTTGAAGCCCTCACTAGTGGCAGTGGTTCTGCAACAGCTAGAGCGGGATTTGGTGTTTTGTTTATTCAAACATATTGCCAGTTKGGGGACCAAATTTCAGCCTTACCCTGCACTGTGTCTCACACAAAGATGCTTCAGTGGTCTGTCTAATCCACTTGAAGAGCCCTTCATTCCCTGGAGGCTGACACTAGCACTCCACTAATGGTTTTTAAGCATAAAAGCACAGAGAAGTGGCTGGGATGGTCCCTTATTGCTTGGTTTATTTTCACTGTGCTGTAAATGCCCCTTTCTCCTTGTGCAGAACATCTCAACTCTCAGTTTGTGCAGTTCCTGCTGGATGTGATTGAGGATGGACTGCCCTCAGACACCACTGACCAGCTGCCTGACTTATTTGTCAACGTCCTTCTGGCCTTCAATCTCCACATTCCAGGTTAAATTGGTGCTGCTCTCCCTTGGCAGGACTTCAGTGGTTTGGAGTGAGGGTGTGAAAAATGGGGAGGGAGAATCTCACTGTGTCTTGATGGTGCTATAACCACCATCCAGCTCCCCTAGTCTCTAGCACTAYACTGTGTTTAAATATGGTACAAAACCCTAGAGGAATAAGTGGTCTGAGAGCTCCTGCCCAGCAGCTCTGGGCAGCACAATAGATTTGTCACTGTACATCCACACTGCCTGATCAAAGTTGGGCTGTACTTGCAGAGCATGAGTGGGATTAATTTATAGGCGCAGGTGACTTGGGAGAGAAGATGCTTCAGTGGGCATTTCTCARTACCAGTTCAGAAGAAAAGTTCTCTGCCTTCTGTAAGTCTTGGCAAAGCTTCTTCTCACCTGTCCACACTGCCTGAAGCTCATTCAGTGTCAAGTTGTTGGGACCAGGCCCTTCAGCACTGGCCTGAGCTGTGTTCTCCCCTGTTTGCCCTCGTTCTGTGTCCTCCCTGCCCTGCTGAGCTCCATGAGGGCAGAYGGATCAGGTGCCTAGGGAGGAGCATCTACCCTCTCTCTGCCTGCATGTTTTGAAGCCTGTTAGAAGACTGAAGCATAGTTTCCAGGTGCTGCTAAGAGAGACCACTCCTGCTAAGGTGTGGCCAGACTTCTGTWGCTCCAATTATCTTTAGTTAATTACTTACCCCTGTTCTGCTTCTTGACTTTATCCTTGACTTTTTGGAGAGAGTGGAGGATAAAGCAGCAACRACATGTCCAGTAATTTACCTGTTATTTTGAGTTGCACTTCATTAAAATTTATGTGAAAGTTTCTAATTCATGTGAAAGTTGATTGCACACAGACTGATTAAGTTTATCTCTGCTGCCTTCATTCATTACCCCTTCCCACACTTAGCCATATCCTTGCTGGCTGCAGATAATTAGGCAGTAATGCATGACAGGCAGTGTGTTTCTGGGGATTATTACCYACCTGAGGTGTAGCCAAGAGCAGTGACTTGTTCTCTGATGCTAAGAACATGTTAAATGATGTTCACATTGCTTATTAGTGGATTGAATTTTTTATTCCTCTGTCTGCAAGATTCATCTATTGTGCAGCTCAGGGGTGCAGCATTAGATAAAAACTCTCCTAAATGTATATTATATTGATGCCCTTCAGGATCCTGAAGCACTTTGCAACCTATGAAATATTACAGGCCACAGAAATAACCACATTGTGCTGTTTATGTGATTGAGTGTGCACACACACATGCACATAAGCTCTGCTAGGGTAAATGTGTTTTACAGCAAAGCACCCCCAGAGCAGGCAAGGGGATAGTTCSTAGAAGAAGTCTGTACCCTTGCACAATGCAGTGTGAGTGCTGGGAAAAAATTTCTCTTCTGGGATGCTCCTGGAGCCCTTCTTAAGAGAACTTGATAGACTCTTAAGTTCCAGAAGGGCACTGCTGATAGGAAGTAAGAAGGTAGCAAAGAGCAGTGCCCTTGGCTGCAGAGGGCTGTGAGCAGAGGTAATGTTTGACAACAATAAAGCCTTTGCAAGGTATTTCCCACTGTTTGTCGGGCAAGGTGGAAACCCACACGTGAATCATACAGAGAAAGCACTAAGTCCCAAGTTTTTCATGTGCTCTTTCCAGATTTRTTTCACCTTTTCTCTCCCTGCCCACCCATGCTGTGGGCCTGAAGCTCTTTGTAGCCCTGATAGACTCTGGTTTCCCAAAGCTCCCCAGAGCACTGATGTGAAATAGCAGACCCCCATTATGTGTTTTTATCACCATGGTCTTCAGGAGACAAAGGGAGGTGCTGAACAGGTTTCTTCCTCAGTTCCAGAACACAGTGTGATCATGACTACAATAAGCAAGCACTCCAATGTCAAGACTTTCACAGAGAAGCTGCTGCTGCTGCTGAACAGAGGAGGTGAGTGTGTGGGGCACAGTTACGTGCCTGCAGGGGGTGCAGACAGATTCTTGGGGAGACAAGCCCCGTGCCTGTAATGGGATGGGATGTCAGGGATGCAGGTAGCTAAGGAGCTGCCAGCACAGGCAGGATGTGCTGCTTCCTGGTGAGCTTGTGAGGGTGACAGTCTGCATTGCTGAGGATGGAGCAGCACAAGGTAAGGTGATGGCTGATGGCATCTAGGGAGAGAGGAGTGGCTGTCATTTCCATATACTGTTGGGTCAGAGCAGCTCCATCTCACAGCATGGGCCMGCTGCCATGGACAAGCTCTTGTCTGGGAAGAAAGCTGGTCCTGGGCCACTTCTGTCCTTGGACAGGCAGAGTACTTGATGTGTGCTGGCACACAAACCTCTGCCCATACTGGCAAACATCTGCCCTGGGGGACAGATGCAGAGGGAGCTTTTGTCTTCCGAAATACTGCTTAGAGTGGAACTTTCCATTTCTGAATTGCCAGCAGAGGGTTAGCTTTGTGTCTGCTCTGGGCATGAAGTCCAGTGTGCTGATAGAGCTGTTGCAGAGCAGATTGCTGGAAAGCTGGAGATCTCCACAGGAAGAGCAGTGCCAGGTCTTTCAGCCTGTGCTGCAGGCCGCCATTGTGCTTTCTAATACCTTCTGGAGCAGAGGGGCTTTGCTGCCTGAGAGAACTTATTTTGTTGAGTTGCTGGAAATAGCTCATCCTATGATGCTTGCAGCTCATCCTACTCRGACTTTAGGGGCTGAAAATCACTGTCTTCACACTGTGTCAGCTTGAGGGCAGCTGGCACCTCAGTGCCTTTCTGTCTGGCCCCCTCCCAAAGCCTTTGTTTAGCCCTTTACCTGCCAGATTTCCTGCAGGGATCACCTTGCAGTGAGGAGCTGGAAGAAGAAACAGGGGGTCCCCAACCTAATGAGGATGCTTCTCTTTTGCCCGCCTTCCTGATGAYTGCTGGGGGAGCTGCCATGGTCCCTCTTTGAGTCTGCAGGGATGTGTTTTGTGAGAGAACAGGATGTGGTGGCTCATTTAAACTTGGAGATATTTCTTTTCTTGCTTCTGGGACAGTACTAGCCTCGTGAAAGCTTGTTTCTGGTACAGACTCTGATGGGTTTTTCAGAGGGGTTATTGGACCACTCTTAATAAACCAGGGATAAAATGAGTGGTGGCTGTTGAGCAAAAAGAGGAGATAAGAGGTGATGTGCTAATGAGCTCTCACCTTGGATGGTAGGTAAAACATAAACAGTGATTAATGCTAATCATAATGAGTTTGGTCTCATCTTGGTAGCCTGCAGAGCTGCCATCCTGATTTACACACCTTTGTGCGAGGCACTGAGGTCTTTAGGCACAAAAGCTGTTCATGGGCAGAGTGGCTGGCTGARGGCAGGGCAGCCTCCTCTCCTGAGCCAAAGTGTCTAATGAAGGGAAGTGCACTGGAGATGGAGCAGAAGGGCAACCGGGAGCTTGTGRCTCAGCACTGTCTCTCTGCTTCCCTCAGATGATCCAGTTTGCATCTTCAAGCATCAGCCTCAGCCACCACACTCAGTGCTGAAGTTTCTGCAGGACATCTTCGCCAGCAAGGATACAGCCAGCATCTTCTATCACACGGACATGATGGTCCTGATAGACATCCTGGTGCGGCAGATTGCTGATCTCTCCCCTGGAGACAAGGTGCTCACAATAATCCATGCATACTGGGAAAGGGAGCACAGTCCCATAGCAATGGTGTTTCTCCTGGCCCCCCATGGGGCCTGCTGGTGCAGGCAAGAGTGGAGTTCTGGGGTAGGCACAACACTTCTGGGTGCTCAAATCAACCTTGGGAGCTGAGGGGGAAGGGAGGATTTATCCTGCCCAGCACACCAGCRTATTTGAAGAAAGATCTGCCAGGCGTCCGGTGGTTTGCACACTTCTGACCAGGGGCCTTTGGGAAGAGAGACCCTCTGAGTAGTAGTAGGAGCAATCTCTCCTGGTATAGCAAGAGGCAGGAGATGTGCACGTGTTTGAGGGCAGCTCTGTTGCTGTGGGGAAAACAGAGTTTTCTATAGTTACTAATGATCCTTAAGGAAAAGCAGGTGCCTCTGGGTGATGGTGCAGCAGCAGCTGTTCCTGTGCCTATGCTGTAACGGAGGCTGGCATGCTTGTTTATCTCACTTCAAATCTTTCACTGTGCTCTGTGGTTTGTCTCCCCTCCCACTTGGCAGCTGAGAATGGAGTATCTGTCTCTGATGCACGCCATCATCCGCTCCACRCCCTATCTGCAGCACCAGCACCGCCTTGCTGACCTGCAGGGAATCCTGCAGCGCATCCTGGGCGAGGAGGAGGAGGACCAGCAGTGCCAGATGGACAAACTGATCATCCTGGAGATTTATAAGGAGTTCCCAGAAATCTCTTCTGGTGCCAGCTAATGCTCCTCAGCTTGGACTGCAGTTTGAACCACTTGGATCGACTATTGTCTTTTGTTGACACTTTCTCCCCATTCCCTCCCAGTACAGCTCATACCTTATATCCCTCTGTGCGAGGCCTAAGGTTGGGACAGCATTCACCGGCCCTTTGGAAACGCCAGCGGCAGAGAGGGCGTGGGGTGCCCCCAGGGCCTGGTGCCCGGGGCAAGYGGAGCAGGGTGGGCGCTGGCGCATGGTTTGTCTGCAGGGCTCGGCAGGAGCCATTTGGGCAGCTGGTGTTAGTGGGATGGCCAGAGAGCTTGTGGGGGCTTAGCAGCCAGCATGGGGGGATGTTTAGCTGCACTGGTGTCCCGAGGTCCTGAAGAGAAAGGCCTTTGCCTTAGAGCATCACCTTTTTTCCATGCGCGTCTCTCCCTGCAGTGACCAAGTGGAGTCTGCTGGTGCTTGGAAGAAGCTTTTGTAACATCTGTTTTGTTTCCTGCTGCTAGTGCCAATGTGCTGCAGCCCTGCCAAGGGAAAGTAGCTGCTCGCTGTCTAATGCCTCGTCTAGTGAGCATTTCACTCCCTCCTGGCCTTCAGCTTTGCCTCTGGGCACCATCCCACCTTGGGTCATGGAGGTCTTACCCCAGCAGCTGCTTTTCAATCTGCTTTCTATAGTGATGTTTRAATCTGAATTTCTTGCACACTGTGGCAGCCTAGAAGTAACAGCCACATGGGCGACACTGCCCTTGGGAAGCCCTTGGCCCGACACAGCACAAAGACGTGTCCTGCCAAGTGAAGCTGCTGCTTGCCACCTCTGTTGCAGTGTTGCTCTGAGCAGAGGGGCTGCCCTTGGGCAGGCGCTCTGTTCATGAAGCGTGTGCATTTCTTGCCTTGAGCTTCATAATAGCTCTGCCTCGCTGCCCTCCGCRCCCCCATGGCAGTGCTCAGAGGCAGTGTGAGCCTGGTGTCCAGTAGCTGTTTGTGACTACGCTAAGTGTGGGGAACCCTTATTTATATTTCCTCTAGGTTTCTAGCAAACTGGATTAACCTGCTTCCCTGATCCAGATAGTCACACACACTAACGTGGGTCTCTTAGATATTCGTGTGCGCAGTGTGGTCACTCCCTGTCCCCAGGTCTTCCTTTGCAGTACCCAGTGTAGGAGCTGTTGGAAAGTGAAACTGGAAATACTAGGCACTGTATTTACTTTAATTTCTGTTGATGTTGTTGTTGGCTTGAGGGGATGACATGAGCTCTGCTCTGCAGGCCTTGACTGGCCACTGGGGCAATGATGCTTGAGAACAGAGGGGGCTGGACTGGCAGCCAAGGGGGGCAAGGAAGTCAGCCTGGGAATGCCCAAGCTTAATAACCACCCTAGTAGAGAAACCTATTTTTTCCCTGTAAAAATGTATGAATGTCAAAAGGGATCCTGTATTTTCTTAAACACTAAGTGTAACCTGCAGAAGAATAAAAATGTCTTAAACTGGACTTCTGTGAGCGTAGCCCTGMCTGCCCAATCCTGTCATGGGAACACGAATGCAGCAGGGGCAATTGGGTGCCTGCTGACCACAGAGACAAAGCATCAGGTGCTGAYCTTGAAATGTGGGTAAAGCAGTCATTTTCCCTCATTCAGCTTCTTGCCTTCTCTTTTTCTACCATGTTGCTGGCTGACAAGGAGGGGTGGAGGGCAGCAGCCCTTTCTAGGGGCACAGCCGTCATTCTTGGGGCCTGCCCAGCACCACCACTCCACATGAAGGGTTTGGCAGAGTTGGACTCCCAGCTCGCTCCCCGCAAGGCGCAGCCTCAGCTGGCTCCCAGCAGAGCTGCCAAGGCAGCRAGCCYGGRCAGGAAGGRTTTAATGGTCTGTGTCGAGCGTAATGAATCGCGCTTTGGCTGCGGATTGTGCTCCCAAAGCTCAGCCTRGCCTGCAGCTCTGGGGGTGCCGGGGATGGCAGGGGGTTCTGTGGTGGTGGGAGGGCAGCGGGTACTGGGCAGAGCACTGCCTTGGCAGCAGGGAGCTGGTCTCTGCTCCTGGCTCTGTGCCCAGGGAGCCAGCCTGGCTGTGGGCACAGCCCTGGGCCAGGGCGGGGCTGGAAATGCCAGGTGCAAGCTGTGCCACTCCACATGCAGGGGTGGCATCAAACACAGCTGCCTGCAGAACCACAGCCAGGGCTGTGTCCCAGCTCCTGCCTCTTTGGCCTGTGTCTCCCAAGTGCCTGGGTGTGTGACCCTGAAGTGTGCAAGTTGTGCACCTGGGGGCAATCATGACACATGAGGGCTGCCAGCACTCACCAGTGTGTCCCCCATGGYGGCACTCCTGTGCCCCATTGCTCTGTGCAGCACATGGTTGCATGTGCCCCTGAGCCAACCCCGGCTTGCTCCTGAGTGCTGCTGGGGCTTGTTGGCCCATGAGCTGCTGCTGTGGTGGGATGTTCGTCTGGCACTTGCCCTCAGTGATGCAGCACAGGCTTTGCTGTGCCAGGCAAACCCAGCAGTGGCAGACCTGTGGCTCTGCTTGCCAGGAGCCCAGACTGCAGAGCTGGTGGCTCCCGTTGACATCCCCAAGCCATTGCTGTCCATGGGRTTACTCACCCCATCCCAGCTGCACAGTAGCAGGACCCTCTCTGTCCCACAGCCTTGCTGTCACCACAACCAGGGCTGGAAGAGATGGGGGGCAGCCGGCTGTGGGGTCCAGGGGGCAAGATGCACCCGCTCTCCAGGAAAGACCTCGCACTGCAGGGAATCAAACTGCAGCGTGTAAACTCAGTGTCCCCAGCCTGCTCAGGGGTCCTGCTCTCCGTGTAGGTGACACATTCAAGATTGTTTGCTGTAATAGGGCACAATTTGAGCACTGCCTCCTCGTATTGGTGTTGTCATTGTGGTGCAACAGTGAGGGGTGTTGGGGGGCTGGTGCGGGGGGGAGCGATGCGTTGCCTGTGACCTGCGCTTATGCTTTATTGTCTGGAATGATTCAATTACAACTATTTTGTGGCAGTAATACCCTGATAATTTTCTCCTCCTCCCCCGAGCTGTCAGCTGGGTTATTAGAACAAATAAACTTGAAAGCCTTCATTACTTTTAAAAAGTATTGCCTCTCTCCTGATTTGGTTTCCTGGTGGCACATCCCCAGTTTGAGGAGGTGTGATGTATGATCCCGCCAGCATGTTCCTTTTGCATGTGGGTGATGAGCTGCCCTATGTTAAATGAGGCTTATTGGGTGAGCTGTGTGCAGGGCCAGGGCTGTTCTGACATTATCCCACTGGCACTGGGAGGGCTCAAGTGGATGCTTGAGGGGAGAAGGTAAATCCCCCAGGAGCACAGCATGCCCATGGCTGGTATGGCCACAGCTCTGTCAGTGCTGGTGCTGGACCACCCAAGCCAGAGGTGTTACTTCGTGGTTGAAGAGTTAATCATAGCAGATTACCCCTCCTATGGGGTTCATAAATTAACGTTGGCTTCTCCAGGRGCTTAGAAATCCACACTCACTGGGTGTCAGCCGTGAGCTTTGTGTAAGCAAGCAGCAGGGGAATTTCTCTCTGGCACATGCTGAGCTGCATTGGCCACCACTTTAGGGCCTGCTTGGTATTTCCTGTCATGGTCCTAAAATGTGTGCTTGGCACAGGCAACATGRTAAGGACAAGCCCTGCCTGCTCTGCCCACCTTGTGGCTGCCCCACTGGTGGCCAAGTCTTGGCTTCTGCAGGGGTGATGGTGGTGGGAGGGAATCACCAGCCCTGCATGAGGCTAGCCATGGTTTGGGGACACACTGGGCATGCTGCAGCCCCCAGGCTGTGTTTCCTTGGTTTCCACCCTAGGAGTGGGAGCCTGCGTGCTGCCAAACCCCCAGTCTGTGGGCAGTATGTGCTCTTCCCACCCCCTCGTTTACACTAACAATAATTGCTAGGGGACCATCTGTCACCATTGGTGGAACCAAATCTGGTGAGGGCTGATGGTGATCAGGGCTGGTCAGGGAGCATCAGAACATGGAGCAGACACATGGAGCAGGCAAAACACTGGTGACATCAGRATTCAGCACTGTGGCAGCAGCTTGTGGGATGCCATGGCCCCAGCCACAGCTGGAGCAGAGGGCACCACCARGACAGTGGCAGCTGGAGCCCCTTGAGGTCCCCAGACCTGCTGTGCCCTGGGGCTAACACATCACAGGTGACCCCTCCCTGCTGTGCAGATGGCCTGTGCTGTCCCAGGCAGCCACTCGGATTTCTGCAAAGGGACCGTGGGAGCTTGCACAGCCTTATGTTGTTTCCTGTGGGGTGGGAGTATGGCTCCTGCAGTGGGAATGATGGCTGGGCAGCAGAGCACCATCTCCAGTGTGGATCCATCCCACTGTTAAGTTGTCAATTTGTTCTGCAGCTCTGCAGGACCTACACAAGGGCTGCCAGCAATCTCCAGCCTGCCTGTGGTGTGGATATGGGGGTTCCCCTGCTCTCCAGCCCATGCACCCTGAACCACAGCCCATCCAGCACAGTAGTACAGGGGGCTCTTGCAGCCCCTTTGGAGCTGGGATGTGCACAGAGGCACGTGTATGCCCTGCCCTTCCCTACCCCATCCTAAACTTCCTTCATCTCCCAGATTTGCTCTATTTTCCTCCCTGACATAGCTCTTTTTTTCCCGAGCATTTGCCCCCATGTGTCCTCCAGCCGGGCATAGCTGAGGACATCACCCTGCCGTGGCACACAAAACACTAATGAGGACCTAAACCCTGTTATTCCTAAACCTGTTACAAGCTCCAGTGGATTAGGCGGAGATATTAGTTGATTGAATCAAACCACAACTAAATTATGAGGCTGATGCCTTAATGAATCATTATGATGCAAGAACCTCAAACAGATTTTTCTCGGAAAAAAAATGCAGGGATGGTTAGGCTTCTTTTTTTCATGGATGCAAGAGGAAAAGCCTGCAATTTTCCCTCTGGTGATGATGTCTCACCTGGTGGTTGGTGCAGCTGGGGTCTGTGTCGGGGAAGAGAGTGGGACAACAAAATCTGTCACGCACTTGGGTGCTCATGGATGGGGGAGCCCGATGACAGGGGCTGCGACTCCACTTGCACGGCTTAGGAGAGCGGGACGGGGGGAAGCCCGTCCTCATGAACACAGTAAAATCCATCCCTGCAGATGCCCAAGGTGATGCGACTTCCAGAAGTACATGGACGGATGGAAGGGGCTCGTAGGGCAGCCAGTGCCTCCTGCCAAACCGCTGGCACTTTCTTGCCTCGCCCCTTGTGCCGGCGGCAGGGCGGCTGTTCCCGGGCTCTCCTCGGGCACCTGGGGACGCTGGCGGTGGCACCGAGACCGTTCTGGTGCCTGGTGCACCAGCAGTGCCGTAGCAGCGCTCAGTGGGCTCAGCAGGTACGTGCTCTGTGTACGGTGTCACGGTGCCCGCCGTCCCTGCGCCTTCGGCAGGGAGGCTCCGGGAGCCGCTCGCCCGGGGCCAGCCGGAGCAGCACAGCCGTGCCCGGCAGCGCTGAGCTCCGCACGGTCCCCGCGGGGCTGACTCGTGGGCRGCACACCCCGCTCCAAGGCCGGCAGTGGCCACCCCACAGT